GACATGTCTTCTCAAGCAGGAATGTAGAAACATAAATTGGTGGGGTTATGTTAAAAGGGAAAAATGTTTGAATTTTTGTGTTTGTCTTTGTGCTGATTCATTTAATGTTCTGGAAGGCCGTGTGTTTTGTTCTTTTGCGTTGACTTTGCCTTCCTCTTGCCTCACAGCTGAACTGAAGAAGAAACCGTCCAAGCCAAAGAGGCCATCCATCAAATCACTTTTTGGTACGCTTTCTTTTAGTTTGTGTTGCTCTTTGTATGGTACACCTTTGTGTTTCTTGTATGCAACCATATAAATCTTTTCATGTGATCAACATGATAGATTATGATTTGTGATTTGTGAATCAGAAACACCAGAAGAGACTGATATGTCTGCAAATAATGAAGGAAGCTTTTTAAAGCTCTTGCCCCCCCAGTTAGAGGTATCATCTCATCGTGACAAGAATCTTCCTCCCAGGCCCTAACAAGCCAATCACGTGATCTATCCAGTCTGACACTGTAGGAATCATAACACATAGCATTTTCACTATTTCCACCCTTAAAATACCATTCTTCTTCGTTTACACTAATGCCTTGGACCAGTCTCTTGTCACTGGCCACAACTATTGATTTGTACATCACTTACTTCGTCTTCGTTGCTACACTAAACAGATACCCAATGTCAATGAATACTACTGGCTACCATGTATATTCGCCTTCTCTTTTGCGTTAATGATAGCAAAGCATTTATCCCTGTAATATTGGAGTGTAATGACTGATAAATTATTTACCAGAACCAGACCTGTTTGAATTTATTTTAACTGCCAATAATCTGCATTTTTTTATGGTTATTTATTTATTTATTTAATTTCTTATTATTATTATGGACGAGGTTCCTCTAAATTAAGAGAGGTATGCTTCTCTTTTGATAAGTTTTTTCATAAGCACTTATAAGAAAGAAAAAAATATGTTTTCTACAAGTTTAAATTAGTTTATGCATATTAGTTTTTTTTTCTTTTCTAAATATTGTTAATCTATATATAAATTAATTTTAGTTTATAAAGCAATTTATTTTATTTTATTTTCTATAAGTGTTTACTTATAGAAGGTATTAAGTTATGTGTACTTCTTTACTTACACTTTAGAGTCATTGGCGTACCTTTTCCATTTCGTTGTTATTTTCTGCACACTGATTTTTTTTGTAATCTTTAGTCAAGTTAGAAGACATGGGTGTTTATTACGTACAACACGTGAAAAATTATTTTGGTATCTCTGTTTTTGTGTATTGTTTTTACCCTTGACTTGATATCTTTTCTCATATGGAAATTATATTTCTCTCTCTCTCTCTCTCATTTTTTTAATGCATTATACTTGCATTACTTCCTTTCATTAATATAACAAGTCAGGAATTGAAATGTGATTTTTCAAATAAGAGAGAGTGCCGGATTTGGTAAGCACCAACTTTCAAAAGTTGATTTAATTATCCCTATTCTAATATAAACATTTGGCCACTTAGTATTATTGCTGGCTTTTGTTTAACATCATGACATCACCTCTTATGCCAGAATTGAATGAACATAGTTTTATTGTTATATGGCACCGGCAAATGATATCAAATAATTTTGAGATTAAAAATATTAACCTCAAAATTCCCAGTTTCAATCAAGAAGCATTTTTTCACTTGGTCTGGCTGTGGAAGTGACACTTCTCATCAATCATAATATATTTGCTAGAACTCTAGAACCTATAATTTGCCTCAAACTTGCTATTCATTAATTGATCAAGAATTTACGCCAGACATTACATTAGTTTTCCATTTTCTATAACAGACGTACTTTTTTTTTTTGACACAACAAATAGTGCATTAACATGAATTAGAGGACTTTTGACTGTTGAGAGGGTCAAAAAGTTTAAAATATTCGTAGATATAATATTTTCTATGTAATCATAATAATTCGCCAAAAAAAGCACCCGAACTTAAAGTTATTGCAGGCAAATACAAGACAGTAAAGATTGATTGCTGTAGGGACCATTACTGGAAGAATGATTCGAATATGCTGCTGAAACTATGCTTACATAGTAGATACTATTTCTTTTATTTGGCTTCTTAAATTTTATAATGATAATAATAAATATAAAAATTACTATCACTATAATTACTTGGACTGCATATGATTTATACATTTTTTAGCAGTATAAAAATGTTGCATAACTATTACATTTTTTAAAACAACCTTGCTCATCATTATCCTTTGGACAATAGTTAAACAATCAAAAATAGATTTTTCTTTATCAAAAAATTTAACATTTAAAATTAGTAATATGTTCCTATTGTGATTTATTGACTTTTCATCATTAACTTAAGTGAATACTTAGAAAACCGTTATTAAATTAGTATTTACATCACTAAACATAGGTGACTATTTAAAAAACAAACCTGTAAAAAAATCAATGTATTCACAAACTATTTTATCTTTATAACTATTTAGGAACCACTCTTCCTTTTCCAATATTTTTTTTATTTAGTTTATTTTCTACTTAATCATAACTAAATATCTCACACTCTTAAAGTAGAGAACCACTGTATTATCTCTCTTTTTATTTTATTTTTATTTTGTAAAATACACATAGGCACTGGGTACCCCTTTTACTCTAATACAGAAAAAGTGGATGAGTAGTTAAAATAATCTTACTCGGATATTCTACAATCAAAATTAACTTCTCTCACCTTTCATTCCATAGAATTTTCTTGGAGACAAACACTTTCTTTACCTAAAATTAAGCAACAATAGATGACTGGCTCCTTATCATAGTTCAAACATTTGATTTCTTTACACATTTACAGTGACACTGATGCTTTATTTTATGCATTGGAACGGTCCCATGCTTTATTTTATTTTATTTTTCTAAACATAAAATAATGGTATTCTAAAGTATAGCCAGTGAAGCTATTTCTAATCAAGCAGCCTGAATCAGGAAAATGTCAAAATGACAAAATACCATGAACCAGCCCATAGATAGGGAAACCATTATTTTCATGTGCCGTGTCGTTTAAAGCATATATGCAAAACAAAAATAAATAAATTTATTATTAGTAAAATATATTTATCAATTTTGTCCATAATTAATTTCTACTGAAAAATTTGACCAATTATCTTTATTGAATTCTTTCTTTTCAAATTTTTTTTCTTTCACAATTCTCAAATATAAAACTTTTGCTCAAATAAACTTATCGGTTGACCCACAATAGTACCCAATTACGCAATGTACACAATACGAGTCGGCAAGCTTACAAATCAATCATCATTAACTATATGTTGTTTATTAATCAGGAGACTCGCATTCTAATAAAAATTATGCAATAAGGTTTGAATATTAAACTGTCATTGTTGCATGGTAAAATAATTAGCACGGTCGTTCCCTTCCCCTGCAGCCATAATAAACTAACATAGCAATCACTTTCATCTAAAAGGTGGTTTAATAACTGAATTAATGTAGTATGTTATTATCGGTTAATAATCAAGGGTAACTGTGCAGAAGGGGTTAACCTACTTTTAATGATATGAAGTCTCATTAACCTAACCAACTACCCCAATTTAAACTTTGCTATTAATTGCTCAAATTAATAAATGCTACTAAATACATTAACCCTACGTGGGAGAGATGTACCTTTTGAGGATTGAAAAGTGTTCAATGGTATAAAGACATATTGCTCACGAAATACCTGAATCCATCAACATTTCAATGTGTAATATTTATTTGTTGAGAAAGAAAGTAATCTAGATTAAGCTATACGTGTAACTTTAATCTAATATTATCTATATATATATATGGTTTGAAAATCAAATCATTGTCAAGATATCTCAAAAAAAAAAATTATTTATCAATTGTGTTGATATGTTGGTTGACAGTTACGTATATGTAAGCAAAATAGCAATTTTGATTCCTTTTAACAAAAATAAAAAATAAACTAAAAAGCAATGTTTGATTCCTGTAATATTCCCCCTTCCAATTTATCTTATCTTAAGCTCCACCTTTTCTGTGCCTCCATTCTCATTTAAAATAGCCTCTCATAAAATTGAAGTATTTTATCGTTAGCATGAAAGATAGTTTAGAAAATATAAAATTAAAAAAAATTAAATAAAGTTAATCAACATTCTTAATTTACATAAACTAACTTTATATATATGAGTCCGGAGAAATTACATCAAATCAGTGTGGCTGAATAATTTCCATTAATTTCACTGATAACCATAACCAACGTAATCTGTGACCTGGGATTTTGATAATTGCAACTCCTGAGTGCCCTTTGCCAAGTCAGAGACCATTAAGATAAACAACTCAAAAGCAATTTTCACCATAGTTTTTCATGACATTAATCATATTATTTATACAGGGTAGTTGCTCCTTCTCCATCGCCATAGTCACGACAAAACAAAAACGTCCTTCTCATATCTATTTACATCAACTTTGAAAATTAGCTCAAACAGTTAAACCATGTAATTAAAAGCTTCAAAACACTAATCTTCATTAATATAATGGTAAAATCACTGCCAAATCGACGTGTAATGATGGGCTTCTAGTCACTTATCTTTTTCCAAATGGCTTCATTATGCCGGCCATCCCATGGAATTGGCAATGTCATCCACAATACAATACAATCCTCCATTTTTTTTTTCTTTTTTCTCATCAAATTTCGCCTTTAAAAGTGACATAAACCTCTTCTTCAAAGCCCCTCTTACACCATCTCCTTCTTTGTGTCTTTCTACATGTTAATTTCTTTTCCCTATATCATAAATTTCTTTACATAATTAGCATATAGAAACATTTGATATCCTTCTATATGATGAAAGTGGGGTTTGAAGTGGTTCATGCAAATCCAAACATGATTCGTACACACATGCATGAAACATGGGATCACTACTCAAATATTATTACTACTACCTTGCCATTTTCAGCTCCAACCCCATCAAGTCCATATCCAAAGCCAGCAACAGAAAACCTAAACTTGGGGCAGAATAATGAACTCTCTGATTGGATGGAGGAGCACATTAGTGACATCACTAAGCACCTTGTTGAAGACATGCCACAAACCACTTCTGATCATACCTTGATGGCTAATACCCCAACAAGGGTTTCCCTTTCTCATCACAACCTTGTTATTCCCTCTCTTTCACCCAGCTTCACTCAAAGAAAACTCTCATGTTCTAGACCCCAATTTGACTCCTTCACCAACGACCCTCCAAATAACAACTTCAATCACCACCTTCAAACAAACACTTCAAGTTTAGATCACATTCATAACCACAATGTTTGTGACCAAGGGTTGAACCTCATAACCCTCCTAATGGAGTGTGCAGTGGCAATCTCAGTTGAAAACCTAGGTGAGGCTCATAGGATGTTGCTTGAGCTAACACAAGTGGCATCACCCTACAAACCATCATGTGCTGAGCGTGTTGTTGCTTACTTTGCAAAGGCCATGGCTAGCAGGGTGATGAACTCATGGCTTGGTGCGTGTTCCCCTTTGGTTGATCACAAGAGCATCAACTCATCATTCCAAGTGTTCAACAACGTTTCCCCTTTCATCAAATTTTCCCACTTCACTTCCAACCAGGCAATTCTCGAGGCAGTGAGCCATTGTGAGTGCATCCACATCATTGACTTGGACATCATGCAGGGTCTGCAATGGCCAGCTTTTTTCCACATATTAGCCACCAGAATGGAGGGTCCACCACAGGTCACAATGACAGGTATTGGAGCCTCAATGGAACTCCTTGTTGAGACAGGAAAACAGCTCTCAAACTTTGCAAGAAGGCTCGGCATGTCACTCAAGTTCAACCCCATTGCAAGCAAGTTTGGAGAGGTTGATGTGTCCATGTTGCAAGTGAAGCCTGGTGAGGCTGTGGCAGTGCATTGGTTGCAGCATTCACTCTACGATGCAACTGGTCCTGATTGGAAAACACTGAGGCTCCTTGAGGAGTTGGAGCCAAGAATCATCACATTGGTGGAGCAAGATGTGAACCATGGAGGGGCTTTCTTGGATCGGTTTGTGGCCTCCTTGCACTACTACTCTACACTCTTTGATTCTCTTGGAGCATACTTGCACCATGATGATTCTAACAGGCACCGTGTGGAGCATGGACTTCTCTCTAGAGAGATCAACAATGTGTTGGCCATAGGGGGGCCTAAGCGGAGTGGTGAAGAAAAGTTTAGGCAGTGGAGAAGTGAGCTTGCAAGGCACTGTTTTATGCAGGTTCCAATGAGTGCCAATTCAATGGCTCAAGCGCAGTTGATACTGAACATGTTTTCACCAGCTTATGGGTATAGCCTTGCACAAGTTGATGGCACATTAAGGCTTGGATGGAAGGATACAAGCTTGTACACAGCTTCTGCATGGACCTGCACTGCTTCTAGATAGCTAAGCTAGTTAGGTGGCTTAGTTATGGTTCCTAGCTTTTGGTCTTAAACCAGTTTAATTGTTCAAACAACTATATAGCTGGAGAATTGAGTTGTATATTGAGAAAATTGATTGCAACTTTTTAGGGAATAAAAAACAATTCTGTAGCCAATATAGCCATATTCATGTTCACACGATTTATGATATGATTTTCTTAATATCTAGTTAGCTTTTATTGTTGAGGAGAAAAGTTAAATATAGTTGCTCAGGTGTTTTTGCGTCAGCAAAATTGAAATTTTACTTTGGTAAACCTTCATACAATCTTTATTACCTAGATTTCTTGTATAAAACTCTAAAATCTGATTAGAGAATAATATTAAAAATATCTAAGATAAACTATTAGGATTAACTTCATAGAAGAAAGTGTAACTAATTAACTTTTCCGCCAAAAGTTTATATATATATATATATATATAAAGGGACCCCTTAACTAAGGTACATATATTTACTTCCATTCTTGCGAACACTAAAGGCACTAACTAAAATATCAGAGTGTTTGGAAGTGTCATCACTGGAGTTCAAGATTGTTACCGCAAGAATCACCACTTCACCACTGTAATCGGAACTTGCCCCTACTTAAACAATCAAGACAGATGCTGGAAACCTAATGCTTCACTGAACATCCTAACAGAAATTTGGTAATAAGTCCAATCATGCCTTGAGTTAAAAAAAAAAAAAAAAACTCTAAGAAATTATATATGCACGTGTTTGATAACCCATCAATTACAAGAAACTCAGACTTGTTTTTGATCAATTTTCTCTTTCTGATGTGGTTTTAAGGACCAACTTGGATCAAATCCAAACATTCACTTATGTTTAGTCAAATTCTACTGTCTACACAAAAGTTACTGAATGTGGGTATGTTACCAACTTTTTCTTCTACTTTTTTTTGGGCCTGATGAAGGTATGGGAATCTTTCTACTTTCCATCTTCTTGTCTCTCATTGGATGCTTCCGTATCTCGTTCAACCACATGACTAAACGTGGAAATTAAATGCCATTTTTTTTTTCTTCTGTGGTCCCAATATGTTGTTTAAATTTAGGCACGCACCTGCGTAGGCCTCTCTCTATTTGGATGAACAAATTTGCCAAGTTGAAGTAGAACAATAGATGAGTTATAACTTTCATATGTTTCATTTGGTTCCATGTACGTGTGAACAACCAATTATGTTGTTTCAGGCAGATCTCGATGATGACTAGTTAGAAGTTAGGTGTAACACTCCATTTAATATCGAACCTGTTGAATTAATGTCGTTTTTTTATAACCTATGATACTATTGCATGTCTTGCGGAAAATGTTTACTATAGTCGAAGAATGAATAGGGAAGAAACGCGCGTTTCATGCTAAATAATATTTTTATGCACGATGAATTCTATTCTTAGTTTTGCTTTTTATATATAATGTTAGGTAAAAATGTAAAAGAAAACAGGAACGAGATGAGCAGTGCAATGAATTTGTTATTGATGACTAAGTTCTTATTTGTTGTAATGTTAAAAAAAAATCATGTTTTTTCAATATTAAAAAAATATTACATACAAGTAATTGCATATATGATTCAATTTATTAATGTTACAGTCATGGGAATTGTGTTTTTTTGAGGAATAATGTTATATTCCTAAGAAAAAGATATGCGGGAATAAATGATATTCTTAATGGCACGGTTTAAAAAATTATTCTTAATTATGAATAATACTTTTGAAAACGTGTATGTCCACGATTGATATTTTGCATCATTTAAAACTTATTCTCAGAAATATGTAATTATAAGACAAAAACATTTTTAAGATTTTTTCCCCCTACCCACTATAACTACCTAGTAGTATACTCGCTCTTGGAAGAGTTCAATTACTCCTAATAAATTGGTTTAAATGTGTTTTTCGTGTTTTAATGTGTGATTGTAGTTTTCAAAATTTTGATCGAGTAATTTTAGTTTATCAAGTATTATAATTGTATAATTTTGATCTTTTAATTTTTAATTAAATAATTTTAATTTCTAAAGTATCGTAATTATGTGATTTTATCTCTAATAATTATACAAATTTTACTTATTTAAGTTATATATATTACTAATTTAAGTAATATACATAAATTAAAATTATAATATATGTAACTTAAATAATTTAAAAATTTTATAATTACAATATTTAAGAAACTAAAATCATATAATTACGATACTTAAGGAATTAAGTTTTCTTAATTATAATTTAAGAAATCAAAATCACGCAATTATGTTACTTAATGTGTGAAGTCCCACATCGGTTAGGAAGGAGAATAAAGCATGCCATATATATGGGTGTGGATACCTTCCTTGTGTGGACGCGTTTTGGGGTGGCATGCGTGCCATTGCCAGAAGCTACTCAATTAGAACCTTAGAAAATAAAATTGCACAATTATCTAATAGTAGAGAGTTAAAAACATAATTAAGCCTAATAAATTATATTCACTTCTCTTGATAAGAATGAATTATTGGAAATAATGCTTAGATCAAGTGTTTGAAAAGAAAAATATATATATTTTTGGAGAACTTGAAAAAAAAAAGTCATATCCCCATGAATCTAACAATTAGAGATATGTTATATTATTTTAATCTAATAATTAGAGATATGTTATTTATTAGAAGTGTTAGATTTAGGAGTGTAAACGTGTCGGGTTGGACTAAGTTTAAATGAATTTATTATTCAACTCAATCAAAATTTAATGGTTGAGTTGGGTTAGATTTTGTATATGTTTTTTTTAAAAAAAATCAAAATCAATCCAAATCAATCACAAGCAAGTCAGATTAAGTTAGGTCAATTGTGTCAACATAATTACATTTATTTAATTTTTATAAAAATTTAAATATATTTAAATAGATGTAAATTATTTTATATTTTGTTACAAATCAATGTTATTAATTGATCAAGCAAATAATGATACAAACTAAATTCTAAAATAAATATGCTAATTTATTACATTATTATCGACTCAAATAACCTATATTAATACAATATAAAATTTAAAATAAATATATTATATTGTTATAATGTTATTAAAAAAATACAATATTTATTACTAAACAAAAGTGATAAAAAAATATTATTTTAAATAAGTATTAACACTAATTTATTATTATTATCATCATTATCGATATTATATATAATCGAATTAAAATAAATCAGTAATTAAAAAATACAAAACTCATTATTTAACCTGTAAAATATTAAATTTTAATCATATAATCCAAACTCATATAATCAATTTGATTCAATTAGAGTTTATAAGTGATTGATCTCCACTTCCACCTCTAGTTAAACTAAAAAAAAAACGACTCTTTTGAAGTTAGAATGATTTAATTTCTCCTGAATTAAAGTTATGATGACATTTTTTATTAAAATAGAAAAGGAAATTAATGTAATATACATTCTGACAGAAAAATAATGTCATTTTCTTAAAAAGAAACAAGAAACAAAATGGAATGAAAGGCAAAAAGATAGTCAGTCATATATATCTAAATCATTTTTTTGGTAAATGATATACATCTCAATCATTAAGTCTGAAAATTTGGACATCGAAATGTCATATCCATGCATAAATCCCAGTGAGGTTCATAATCAATCCCTATAAATTATTGCAAATAGTAGTAAGGTATTCCATAATCATAAAAAATTTCATTATTATGTTCTTGTTGGGCATTGGGCATTCATTAATTGCTCAGAAGCCTTATAATTGATCGCACGTTCCCTTTCTCTATAAAATTATAAATCAAAATAATTACCTCCTTCATCTTCAAATTATACCACTATCCCACTTTTCCTTATTTTGGGTTTTAGATTTTATGCACTCGTGACATATTTATTAGAATATCATTATGCTCACGATTTTATGAATTTATTCTTTTTCACCGGCACATAAAAGTATTTTAAAATTTAAATATAATATTTATTTTTACGATTTGATATAAAAGGTGTTCCACGAGAGTTTATTAATGATTAAAAGTGATTTCCATTTTTCTATAAACTTATTAAATTGAGAAGTATATTATAATATTTTAATTTATTAATAAATTTCTCAATTTAGTTTATAAATAGTTTTCCTTCAATAAGAACTTGTTAAATAAATACTTCATTAAATTATTTACTTAAGTACACCCTTATTTACCAGTCCAAAAATATACGCCTTTATTTAAAATCATTTATGAAAATCATTTTTTAACATTATAAAAAAGTTTAAAACTTAAAAAGGTTGAATCTGGTTGGATAAACAATGTATTTTAAGATATTATATAATAAACTTTTATATAATAAGAACTTATGTTATAAGTGTTTAAAATTTAATAAATTGTTACATTTGGATATACATGTTAATAAGTATTTATATAGTTTAAAAATGTTTAGATATATAATTATTTAAGTAGTAATAAAATGTTATAAAATGTTATCTTATTTTAAAAATTAAAAAATTATAAATAAAAATTTGACTAAAAAAATTAAATAATTTTAAAAAATGATAATATACATCACAATAATACTAAATATGATAAAAAAAAATATTAGTCACCATTCTACTAATTTTAGTTTATAAAAAAATTTAAATTAATAATAAAATATAATAAATCTATTATATATAATCATTAAAAATTAAGAGTCATAAATTTAAAAATTAATAAATTAAATATATTTTATAAAATAATGTTTAAAAATTATTATATAAATATCAAAAACAAAATTAATTGAGATGTGCTATTTTAGAGAAAAAATTATGATTTTTATATAATAGGAAAATGTAAATTTTGGAAGGAAGAGATAAAAAATTTTGGAGGAAAAAAGAACAAAAACTTTTTGAGAGAGAAATGAAAACTTTTGGAAGGAGTAATAAAAAAAATATATAACTATTTTTAATGAAAGAATAAAAAAATAAAAAAAAATTATTTGTTTTAGGATTCAAACTTGATTATTTATTAATAAGTTTCAACATAAGTTAAGTAATAATTTATGTCGGACATCTTATCCAAATAAGCTCAAAACATCTAATGAGTTATTTGTAAGATATTTTATAAGTTTGTCATAACACTTTCATAAGCACTTATAAAATAAAATAAGTACAAAAAAATTATCTTGAAGGTTTTGTTTTTCGTCAAGAAGGGACAAACAAATATCTTAAAATACATGAAGTCAACCCAAAAGATGTTCTTAATTGACACACACTACAATCCTTTCCTTTTGTACTCTAAGGATGATAAGTATTCTCCTTAATCAAATAAAAAGTGTTAATTTTGTGAAATACATTTAATGCAAACATTTATTATTGCACCAACAAACATATCACTTTGCAAGGAAGTAACACGAAGCACCTAGACGAGTGCAACTTTCGGATTTGCATTAGTCATCTTCAAAAATGACCTATATAAAGAAGCTCATACAACTTATAGAAATGGAAGTTGAAAACTAAAGACCATTTATTTTTTCATTCATTCTCTATAAAGTACATTCTATACTTAAATGTTTTTATCTAGTTTTGCGTGTAACACGAATACCTTGATAGTTTACTCAACTCAAACTTTGTATTTCTTTCTTGATGCTTAGAGAAACTTCGTTGTTTAAAGAATACTTGGTATTGAAATTTGGAGATACTTTCTTATTCAAAGAATACTTTGGTAGTTTGCTTTAAGAGGCAAATCAAAGGACATTTAGGTTAAAATAGAAGTGGTTTGTGAAAGCATACTTGTATATTTATGAAAGATAGTGAAACTTAATGAAATTAATCAAGAACTAAATGTAGTTTTGGTAGTTGAGACAAACCATTAAAAATACTTTTTTTTTCTTTATTTTGTTTGTACTCTTTGGTCTTACGTAACTACTTCATTGTTTAAATCAAAAGAGAAAAAAAAATGTATTGAGTTTTTGATAGATACTATTCAACCCCTTTTCTAGTGTCTGTTTTTTTTTTTCCCAAAGCTTGGTATCAGAGCTCAACCTTTGACGGGGTTAAGTCTTTAACAATGCCAAAGGAATAGATTATAGATGGAAAGTAGTGAAGGACAATACCTACCTGAAGTAGCTTCTTGTATAGTGTCTCCAACCTTTAATAGAGAAGACTACTCATATTAGAAGGACATAATAGAATTTTTCATTAAGTCCAACTTTGGAAGATTATCATAGGTGGTGATATTCTCATGTAAAGCTTAAGAGTGAGTAGCTTAGGACGACTACAACACTTTGTAGTTCAACACAAAAGTAAGATACATCCTAGCTTTCTCTTTGTTAAGAATGAAGAATAACAAGTTTTGCAGCTGCAAGACTATAAAGGTGATAAAGGATGCCATTTGGGTAACACATGAAGGTATTAAGGATGTGAGGCTCAAGATAGCAATTATTTTTTAGAGACACCATGAGTTGTTATTCATGAAGGAAAATGAAACTATTGACAAAATGTTTGGAGGGGTCCAAACTATTCTCAATGGATTAAAATTCCTGGGAATTGAGTTTACCAAAGTTCAAAATAACTTGAAGATCCTATGAAACCCCCCTAAGGTTTAGGAGCCCAATGCCACTACCATCTCTAAGGCATGTGACCTAAAAACTCTAATGTTGGATGAACTCTTCGAAGCCTTAAAAGCATTCATGAAGTTCATCTAAACAACATAGATCACATGGAGCCAAATGATTTTATTACTTTAAGAACTAGTGAAACCAACAAAGGGAAAAAGCAATGGAAAACTCTCAAGGAGGAGTCTAGGCACAGTTTCTTAGATGAAAGCTTGGAGGACTCTAGATACATTGAGATTTCTCTTATCTCTAAGAAATTCAAGAATATGTTGAAAAAGAAGGGGAGACTTAGAAGCTTCCACAAAAAAAAAGAACAAGTTCAAGAAGCATATCAAGGAAAAAAATAAGTAAATCATTTGCTTCAAATATGGGCTCATAAAGGTTGAATGCCTAAAGCTCTGAAAAATATGGTCCAACAAAAAGATGATCATCTAAAAAGATCTAAATAACATTAATTCAGATGATGAAAAAGTCAGCATTTTTCTCATGGTAGATGCAAACAAAACAAAGATAAAGATAAAGATTGTTCTAAACTCTACTTTTGATTTGTCCAATGAGTCAAATAATAACTTTAATGAAAGAGATGTTTTATGAAACTCTTATGACAAATTTTCTTATGATCACTCTTGAGTATGAAAAATTTAAAGAAAAATATAAATTTATGATATCTAAAAATTAAAGACTCAAAAAGGATCTATCATATGTTTTCAATGAGATATAGGATCTCAAAAGCAAAGCCACAAGCACTGATCCATTTGAAGTTACAACATGAAAAACTAAAATTGTACAATTCAAAAAGATTGTCATTTGACAAACATGGTATTGGCTATGAGGGAAAGAAATATAAAAACTTCCTCTCCAATGTCAAAAATAATCTTGTATAATGTTTGTGATAAAGGTGGTCACCACGTCAAACAGATGTGATATGAAGAGAAAACATGAGGTGTCTGAGGGCAAGAGAACTAACAGAAAAGGACAAAAAATGATTTGAGTACTAAAGTATCAAATAATTATTGTTGCATGAATTCTTGGTGAAAAAATGGAAAGATTTACACTAGTGTCTAGATAATGGTTGTTAATGACATATGACGAGAAGAATATCTATGTTCTTATAATTTTAACTCCATGATATATCAGTCTCGTTCAAAAATAATGAGAAATGAAAGGCCAAAAATATAAATAAAATTAATAAGAACTTTATAAAAGATCAAAAGTCTTAAAAGATTATTTTTCCTTCTAGACCTTTGATATTACCTATATCTATGATTTTTTTAAAAATGAAAAATTATTTTTTTTAAAATGTTATAAGACAAAAAAATAAAAGAAAAAAGAAAGAAGAAATCACATCTATTAAAATTTATCATTAGAGTTATGTCGAACTAGTTTGTTTAAATTTTAACAATATATTATAAAAAACACTTTTTAAAAAATTATTTAAGCAAAAAAGTATTTATTTTAAAAACAAGCAATTTAGACAAATATATTAGAAATTAATTTATTTTATTAAAAAAATACTTTTTAATAATTCTTTTTAAACAAACAAGCTAATTATTTGTACAATGATTTTATGATAGTAGTATTTTTTTTCATCTATCTCACCACTGTTATATTTTCTGTGTGTCATTAGAAAACTAAAAATTGGAGTAATCGGCAGCAAATAGTTAGACAAGTAAAAGACAATCAGAATTGAGCTGATCATCCGCAGCAACATTCAGATTTCAGAGACTAAAAAAGATTAAAAAAAAGGGAAAAATAACAGAAAAAGACGAGAATAAGAAAAAGGGAAAAATATAAGAAATTAAGGAAAACACTTTTTGTCTTTTGACAGCGCAAACGTGGACGGCAGACAGAGAAGGAATCGGGTAACCTCTCGTCTTACGTCTCTTTTCCTTCAAATTTTAAATAACAAAATAATTAAAAATAAAAAAACAGTAAAATTGATTTAAAAAAATGAAAAATAACAATAAGACAACACAACATAACACAAAGTAAAATTGAATTTATTTAAAAATAAAAATCCAACCAAAAAAAGGAAACAGGATTCCTATAATCCTCATGCTTGGTTTTTTCCGTTCACATTCTTCTTCTTCTCTCTCTCTCTCTCTCCCTCTTTCTCTCTCCTCTTTCTCTCTCCTCACACCAAACCACACCAGCTTCCTCCCTTCATCTCAATATTTTCTTATTTGTGGAACTGCTTTTGTCTCCTCCTCTTTGATCTTCCACAAGCTCCTCTCCCTTTTGCTTTCTCAATCCGTTTCGGTAAAAAAGTTCACTTTTTTTTTGGCCCCTTTTGGGGTTCCTGAACGCGTTAAAGATACTGTTTTTGTTGGGTCAATGGGGTCCTATTTTCTAAAATTGCGGCCTCAATTTTTGCGGTCTGGGGGTGATTGATTTGGGGGGAAGGAATGTAGCTGGAGGAGGTGGTGTTGTGTTCTCAATAAGAATTTCATCCTCATTCAAAGGGGGTGTTGTAAATTTCTTAAATTTGATCCGTTTTGATCTACCCTTACATTGAATTGGTTCTAATTTAATGACTTGGTTGTGAAATCTCATTGGATTTGGGCGGGTGTTTGAAGAAAGTTAGGATTTTTGACTCCGGTGAATCTGTGGGGGTGTTATTCTTTTCTCTCGTTTGGGATTGTGCACAATCACTTGCTGAATTGGGCACAAATCTGAGCCAAAAAGTTCATTCTTGTTGCTTGTGGTTGGAGGTGCATTGAAGGTCATTTCATCATGGAGCATGTGATTGGTGGAAAGTTTAAATTGGGAAGAAAAATTGGGAGTGGGTCTTTTGGGGAGCTCTATTTAGGTATGTATGCTCATGTTTCTTTCTCCTTCTTTGTATGATTTTATTTTGCTGCATTTTATCGTATTGTTTTATGTTTTTTTTATTGCTGTAAACATGTTTGGTTATATTTGTGTCTTATGTCAGGGGTTAATGTACAAACTGGAGAGGAGGTGGCTGTTAAGCTGGTATGTTAAGTTTTCTTAAAGCTTTTATTATTGAATTCTTTCATGAATTTGTAGAGAACTAGAGATCGGTTGATCTTTTTGTTTTTTTCCTTTCTTTCTGGTGGTTCTCAAATCTGAATGTATTTACAGTGTATATATATATATAATTTTTTTTATTATTATTACTGCCATGTTATAGGTGCGAAGTGTTTGTCTGTTTTGCTGATTTATAGTATATCATCTTAGAAAATGCTTTAATCTGTTTTATACAATGGTATAAATACCTTGTTTTAATTTACTTCTGCTTTTTGGACTATATATCGTGCATTCTGGGTCTTTTGTTATTCTATGTGGTAGTCATTGTCACTTTTGGTGCATATTTTTACAACAAAGTTTATATTTGATTTCTGATCATATTTTGCTGGTTTTTGAGGTCTATTTTTGTTACCAGTTAATGGTATTTATTTATTAATAATATTCTACATTTCAAATTCCTAACAATCCCATCTTGTTCCATCAAAAAATTCCAGGAACCTGTGAAAACCAGGCATCCACAGCTTCACTATGAGTCAAAATTGTATATGCTTCTTCAAGGAGGAAGTAAGTGTACATCCCTCTTTCTTTTTAGCATATAGGATACTAAAAGTGTTCCCTAATCTAATGCTAGAACATTCAGGCAAATGTATCTTAATCATTATATGATATACACATTTGTCCTTTTTTCTTGATTCTGGGGTATGACATGATTGTTGTACCAGATCTTCTTCTAGGAATGAAATAAGAACCATTAGTCTCAAACCTTTGCCTTCAAAGGAAAAATGAAGAATGTAAAGATGTTTAAAAAATGAAAATTTCTGTTTGAGTAATCCAATATGCCTTTTCCTTTATGAAGCGGGGATTCCCCACCTCAAGTGGTTTGGAGTTGAGGGAGACTACAATGTCATGGTTATTGACCTTCTTGGACCAAGCCTGGAAGATTTATTCAATTATTGTAACCGAAAGTTCTCATTGAAGACAGTGTTAATGCTTGCTGATCAATTGGTAAGTCTCTATGGTAACTATTTTCATAGAAGGGGCTTTAAAAGTGATACTAATGTTTTTTGCTTCATATTCTTGTTTCTTTTCAGATTAACAGAGTTGAATATATGCATTCAAGAGGTTTCCTTCACCGCGACATAAAGCCGGACAATTTTCTAATGGGTCTAGGACGAAAAGCAAATCAAGTATGTTATTGTTGAAGATAGTTTCTTTCAACTTATATTTGCTTTTATTCTTCTTTTGTTGCTCCTTTCTATTCCCTTATATAATGCGGAAGCAGTATACCTTTGTGAATTTTAATGGGGTGGGGTAGAGGAATCTGAATGACCTACAAATGATTTTCATTGTCCTATAAAAGATGGTTTTTGAATGACCTACTTTGGGGACCATATATCATGCACTCTGAGGATGACTGTGAATATAGCGAAGTCATTAAGATGAAGATCTAAATAGCCTTTTGGAGGACTTGGCTTTTGATTGAATATAGTCATTTGATCAAATTTGTTGTCGTTATTGTTTAGACTTTGGAAGATTTTGGTTGTTTTTTACAGTCTTTATATAAATGGAAAGGAATTACATATTAAAGTGATTCTCATACAGTGGGAAAAAAAAAAATCAAAATATAAGCTTGCTGAGTGATGTTAGGAATTGGTAGTTTTGTACTCTTAATCCCATGTTTGTCTTTTAGTTGGTCAAGGACATTCTTGCTTCTTGGTCCTTTACAATCCTAAACAAATGTCACTAGTGCATTTTTCTTATTTTCATACCACATACAACTCCATGTTGTTTAGTTCATAATATAGAATGCCATGTCATCATGTCATGTGTTTTTCTTACTTTGGTTCCACATATCATATGGTCAGTGATTGGCCAGCATTTTGTGTTAATTCTCTGTTAGGACAGACAGAAGGATTAGGGAGAGTTAGAACAGTTAGGGGCAATTACAGCAGTTAGTTAGTCAAGGCTAATTAGATAATACGGGGAATAACGATGAAGGATTCATTCAAAGAATTAAAAAAAATTTGTACCTTTTGATTGTTTGCTTTATTCAATTTCTCTTTTTAAAGCTTGTAGCATATTCTTTTCTTCTTTAAAGTTATGGATGTTATACATGACTTGTTTGTGCATCTTATACTTCCCATCTATTTTAATGGAATCCAATTCTTTTGTCCAACTAAAATTAAATGCATGATAATTTTTGATGATATAACTTGGTCAAACATGCAAATTTTAACTATATGTCATTCTGGCTTTGTCATTTCAGGTGTATGCCATAGACTATGGCCTTGCAAAAAAATATAGGGATCTTCAGACTCATAGGCACATACCATACAGGTTGGTTTTGTCTCATTATTTAAGGAGGGAGTAATATTAGTTAAGCAACAACACTTGGGCAAACCAAACCTGCATTAATAAACTACTGATCATTCCTTCTTTGTTTCTATGCATTTGCATCACTTTAATAGGCTATTATGCATTTATACTGTCTTTTGGTGGAAGGCCTTCACTTAAATGTATGTATTATTACTACTGTATTTTAATAATAAATAATATTATTATACTTGTGATAATAAAATTATTATCAAACTTGCTACATCAAATTCCCACTGATAGAATGGTGTGTGACACCCATCCAAACCGAATTCAGGGCATTGGAACCCCCTTGTTTGAAGTAGAGCCTCCTTGATCGCAATCTTTTATTTTTATTATTATAATCTGAGAGAAAGAAAATAGAGAGAGGATCAAATGTATTGAATTTGAAAGAATGATTTCATGTCATTGCTCAATCAGTTTCTAATAGATATTTATTGGGACAATTCAAGCTAACTAACCGTGCTGACTGAGCACTGATCTAAAAGACTGACAGAGATGGCTAATAGTTGACTCTTTGGCTAGGATACAATACAATGGAGACTAGACCAAGTCCTTGCACTCAGATACCAAGATTTTGCATAACATTTTTTTAAAAGTCGTATTTGTTTTCATTGTGTGGGGAAAACAAGAACCTTACTGGCACAGCACGCTATGCAAGTGTCAACACTCATCTTGGAATTGGTGAGTAATATTTTGTGCTGGTTTATTTCTTTTTCTGTTAGCAGAAAATAATTAGAGGTGAATTATTATATTACTTGACTTGATTGTTTTCTATAAACTAATTATATTTATTTTACTGATAGAACAAAGCAGAAGGGATGATCTGGAATCTCTTGGTTATGTGCTTATGTATTTCTTAAGAGGAAGGTTGGATAATTGAGAAATACTTCTACTTTACCCCTTTTGGAGGTTTTGATGTTTTTACATAATTTTCTCACTGTCATCTTTCTTTCTTACATTTTCCTTTTTTCAGTCTTCCCTGGCAAGGACTGAAGGCTGGCACTAAAAAACAAAAATATGATAAAATCAGTGAGACAAAAGTGTCAACTCCCATAGAGGTATTATGACTAACTGGATCTGTAAGGTTTTTTTGGAGAAAATAAAAGTAGATCTTGATTTGATACTTTAAATTAGGTTAGATATTCTGTTGCCATAGAGGCTAATAAAGACAGGCCAGGCTAACTCCATAATATTTTGGACATTTGAATGTTGATACTTATGCAAGCACTGTTGCAGGTTTCTTGTACACTAGAAATTTGGAACTTAGTTACAAAGTGTTATTTCATAATAGTTATTTCTATGTCAATACTTCGTTAATTATTTCTATTTAATACTAATTGACCAAATGCTCTCGGGTCAATGTTCACTTTTTAATTCTTAACCCTATATTAATCCTTGCATTCAACAGTAGGCACTTGACATATTTTAATTTTATTGATCCTGTTGAATAATGTTTTTTGTATAAACAGGTTCTATGCAAATCATATCCCTCCGAGTTTGTATCATACTTCCATTATTGCCGATCATTGCGGTTTGAGGACAAGCCAGATTACTCGTACTTAAAGAGACTTTTCCGAGACCTATTTATTCGAGAAGGTACGTTACCCAAAATATTTAATTGGGATAATGTGTTCAGTATATTATGCTGGAAATTTCCAGCATATTTAGTGGCTGTAAATTGATCTTGACATTGTTTGTGCAGGCTATCAGTTTGACTACATTTTTGACTGGACTATGTTGAAGTATCCACAGATTGGTGGCACCTCTAGAGGGCGAGTTAGTACTTTTGTGCTTGCTTATTTTGTTCATGTTGTCTATTGTTGGTCACTTACTGTAATTGTAATAACAGCATGGCACTGGCAAGGCAGCTATGCATGCAGGTCCACATGTACAAAAACAAGAAAAGATCTCAGGTTCATTCTCTTTCAGCTGAATAAGATAATGAAGTTTGATGCCTTAATGAGCCTGACCTTAGGTGGTCAGGAATTTTGAATTTAATACATGAGGTGTCAGAAAATAATTTTATGAAAGCAGTCAACTGTAGTTATGTTTTTTCATGGCTCATATCAAAGTTAAATTAACATACTTTAATCAATTTCCATTTTGTATTATTTTGGTCATGCAATTTCTTTCAGTTGGGAAAGAGATAAGAGAGAAATTCTCTGGTGCAGTTGAAGCATTCTCCCGGAGGAACCCTGCAAATGCAAGTCCTCGTCCTGATCACACCAAACATAGGAGTTTTGATGATGTACCAGTACAAAAGGATTTGGTAATATTGATTATTCAACAATAAGAATATTATATGAATCTCCATTTGAAGTTTTCATATGCGTATATTAGAAATGTCATTTTTTATTCATTTCCTGTTTTCACTAATTATAACTATAAAAATGTCATTTCCTTCAATTTACTTTCTAAGTTTTGTATATGGCGAGAACACCAAAATATTATTTTCACCACTTTCGTACAAATCATCGAAATTAGAAAACATGAAAATTGGGTGTTTTTGTAATTATTAAAACAGGAAATGAAAATGAAAATGTTTTTATTGGGAAAGACCCAAGTCCCACATCGACTAGAGATTAAACAATTAAATAGTATATAAGTGGAAAACAACTCTCACCTTATAAGCCGATTTTGTAGGGTTGAGTTAGACTTAAATCCACTATTCTAAGATGGTATCAGAGCCAATGGTTCGACCAAGTAACTGGTGATCGGCTCAGACGAGTATTGGCTGGATCCAAGAGTGGGATCCTGAATGGAATTAGGCAGAAGATCCAAGAGTAGGATCATTCTATTGGGAAAAATCCAAGTCCCACATCGACCAGAGATTAGACAATTAAATAGTATATAAGTGGAAAACAACCCTCTCCTTATAAGCCGGTTTTGTAGGGTTAAGTTAGGCTTAAATCCACTATTCTAAGATGGTATCAGAGCTATCCTAGATTCTTAAAAATGGGCTACCTACCATTGATACATGTACCATGGGCACGAGGAGGTGTATTCAAGTCCTGCCAATTAAAAAAAGGGCCACCTACCATTCATTGATACATTCACCATGGACATGAGGGAGTGTATTCAAGTCCCGCCAATCCTAGATCATTAAAAAGGGCCATCTACCATTTATCCACGTACCAAGCCCAATAGTGCTGGATGTGAGGGGGGTGTATTGGGAAAAACTCAAGTCCCACATCGACTAGAGATTAGATAATTAAATAGTATATAAGTGGAAAGCAACCCTCACCTTATAAGCCGGTTTTTTAGGGTTGAGTTAGACTTAAATTCACTATTCTAAGAGTTTTCTCAAAACAAGGGGACCTCTTATTTTCTAGATATCTGGTTTGTAGAGATGTCGCATGCAGCATGCTATTATCTTTTCTATGGAGAGGGTTTATAATTTGGACTGAGTACATCTTTCATGGAAGAAATGGGGAAGTGAAAAAGAACTGAGAGAAACATGGCTTAATGGGGAGAGTATAGAGAGATTATTCTACTCTCAAGAATGAGGACGAAATTCACTGGCTCTATTTTTTCTACTGTTAGTTCATAGTTCAATCAGATTTATTTATGCATAATTGAGATTGTCACTTGTGTTTAATTATCAACTGTTCATGTATGTTTAACTTTACCTTGTATTGACAGCACTATGCCCAACACAACCCCGCTCGTTATGGCAGCACTTCAAGAAGACCCATGATCTCATCAAACAAGCAGACTTCCTCTGGTGACCATACCGGCAGGCCAACCTTAAGTGGTGGCCGTCCATCTGGTGCTCATAGAATTCAACCTGTATATGACACCAAACAAGCAACTTACACACGCAGTGGCTCTATAATAAGAGGCCACCGTGATGATCCTCTTAGGAGCTTTGAGCTCCTCAATATCAGAAAGTAATTAAGTGAAGGGTGTGTCTTTTTGTTGTCATATCTGAATTGTGACACACCTGAGAATGCAAGACACCTTTTTATTCAAGAATATTCTCAAGCATTGTGCAAAGAAACCAAAGAATCAAGTTCATGGATGTTACTCAATTACCATTGAGGTCATTATGGCATATGATCTCCTGATATCAGTTTTGGACCAAGGTGGACTTTTTTCTGCCCCAGAATTGCTTCAGAAGGTTTCTCAGCCACTGTAACGTGTTCTTAAAACGTCCCAAAGAGAATTCAACTGAGATTCTTTTTATATTTAATTTCTGTACTAGATGAGACCTGAATTGTAGTAAGTTTTATGACACACCATGCTATTGTTTGTGAACAATGAGGTCAAACGCTGCCTGTATGTTATTAACACGTCTCTTGAGAATGAAATTTATTTACAAGCTAGTACTTGGTTTCAAACTGGCTAACGGAGGAAATTTAATGGAAAACACATCAATAATTGAAAGGATGATACTCACATTGAACTTCTGAGTCACCAGAAAGGGGTTTTGGAAATAATTCTAGTTATAGTTTATAACTGAGTTTGAGAACCTCAAACAAACCAACAAATAAAAAAAAAATAAAAAAAAGCAACCAGCTAAAAAAACATGTCCGCAAAACAGAAGTGTGAATTTGGAACTTCAAATGCATAAGGAGCCATAGTAAATTATTCCCAACTTATAAGTTACACTCTGAGAAATTCATGTTTCTGTTTTTCTTGATTTCCCTGAAGACAACTGAGGTGGGAAAAACCAGTGATGATCACTGTAAAGAAATTACAATGTCATAATGCATAATTCATTAAAGTCCGTGGTTTATGGAAACACGAACAATGATTGTACATTTGTCGCATTTTAAAGTTTACTAGAATCAAATATCGTCTTAATGTCACATCCATTTGCACCGATTGTGATGCGCCACCAAACACACTCTAAGTTTGTGAGCATGTAGCTCGGAAATGTGTATGACATAGAATTACTGTTATATAGTATTTGTCTTTGTTAGATAAGACAATATATCATGTAGGACGCATTTAAGTGTTAATCATTAATTTAAGAATGAAGTGTGTGTTTGGTTTACTTTTCATTATTTATGTTGGCCCATAAATTCATGTCAAATGTCCAATTTAATGCAGAAGCTACTCGATAAAGCTTCAATGTGACATGCATCCAAACTTGTTCTCTTTAAGTTTGTTAAGTCTTTTTATTTGTTTAGAAAACGCTTAGATGTTATGACTTCTATTTCACATTGGAAGAGAAAAGCAAAAGCTACTGTGTGCTTTTAGTTTAGTTATTGGACATGGTTCTCAGCACTCACATTTATAAAATCATCGTTTCAAACAAGCAATTCAATAAATTGAGACAGCATAGAGCTTTTAGTCGTGTGCTATATTAATTTTTGGTCCAACTTTTTTGGATTGAGTAGTTATTTTAAAACTAAAATTGAAAATACAAATTTAAGAGTAAATTAAAAGTTGTTTCACATATTTTTAACTTAAGATAGATTACTCTTGAGAAATGAGAGAGATATAGAAAATGGCAAGAAAGAGAAAAAAAAACTTTTTTTTATTCTAAAAGCTCCTTTACTTAATTTATTTCTTTATATAAATATTAAGCTGGTCAATTTTTAATATTTTTTTAAAAAATATTTAGTTTACTTTTTTCAAAGAAAAGAACAACCAAACAAAAATTAAACTAAATATTACCTAAGCTCATAGCTAAAATATAAGCTCCTCTATTTGCTTTTAGAATTCAATTTAGTCTTACTATTTTTAAAATGTTCACTTTAGTCCTTTTATTTTAAAAATATTCAATGTTTTTCTTTTATCCAAATTAACAATAACAATGTTAATAAAATTATATATAGAAAAAATATCATTGAATATTTTAAAAAAAATTATAGGACCAAGTTGAGCATTTTAAAAATAGTGAGATCAAATCAAATATCTTAAAAATAGTGAGATCAAATTGAATATTTTAAAAATAGTAGGACCAAATTGAATAAAAATTTATCTAACAGTTTTTTTCTAGATAAATTTAAATTTTCTTTTACTTACCTTAACAAAATCATAGATGAAAACAAATTGAGTAGCTGAAATTAAAATAATGATCACAAAATAAAGAAGTTATCTAATAAAAATAATTATTAAATAGGTAAAAAAAATTCAAATTTATTTAAAAAAATGTTAAATATTTTTTTAAATATAATTTATCTATTTATAAAATTTTCAATTTGATCTTATTATTTTTAAATTATTCAATTTGATTCTTTAATTTTTAAATAATATTTAATATTGTCCTTCTGTTCAATTTTATTGATGTCAATTTGGACAAAATGATAATATTAAACATTTTTAAAAAAATTAGTAAACTAAATTAAATTATTTAAAAATAGTGTGAACTAATTAAATTTTAAAATAAATAAAGAGATAAAAATATAATTTAACCAAAATATATTGGGTTACACTTATCGAAAAAGGGGATTTTTTTTTAATGTCTGATTAGATGTGATCAAAGATAGTATATATTTATATAGATGATCTGGTAAGAGCACTTTTGGTTAAAAAAAATCTTAAAAGAAAAGATCATGCATGTTAATGGCTTTGAGGATGAAAGTTTTAAATAAGAACCTTATTTTCCCGTTTTGCTAAGTTGGTGAAAGGAGCCATGCAATGCAAATTTGAGAAATAATGAAAGCAGGAAT